CATAATTAGCTTAAGTGTTGTACATTGTATGCAATATCCAACCTTGTGTTTTTAAGGAAGTTGAGCTTCCCAACTAGTTTTCTATATTAAGATGGATCAGAAAGCAACGTACCTTCTTCAGCTTTTAGTTTAGTTGATGAATCTAGAGAAGATGAAATAACAGAATACCCCAGACAATCATACTCTTTTAATAGGTCAGTGGTGAACTTCCTTTGGGAGATCAACACTACATCATCCTTATAGAGCATCTCTGGCCCAAAGAAGTAGTGTAACTTGTCTAAGTCTTTTATTCTGAACTGATTATGCAAGTAAGTCTTCAATGCTTTAATTTTCTCAAGGTCAGTTCCAGTGAGTATCACATCATCAACATATAGAGCTACAAAGACTGATGAATCACCCTACTTTTTATAAAATAAGGAGTAATCATTGGTTGATTATCTGAAACCTCTAGAATACAATGACTCTGTCAGCTTATCATACTACTGTCTACTGGCTCGTTTGAGGCCACACAAAGACATCCTTAATCTTCACACAAGTTGTGTGTTCTCTACCATTAGGCCCTGTAGGATTTTCATGTACACTTCTTCATGTAGGTCCCCATAGAGGAATGGATTGTTCACATCTAGCTGGTAAAGATCCCATACTCTCTTTAGTGTAGTGATGATCAGGGCCCTAACAGTGGTCATCTTCACCATTGGAGAAATTTTTTTTGTATAGTCAATCCCAGCTTCTTGTGTATATCCTTTTACCACAAGTCTTGCTTTGTACCTTTCCACACTTCTATCTGCTTTGTGCTTTATTTTGTATATACACTTGCACCCTATGACTTTCTTTCCTACAGGCAACTTAACTATATCCCAAGTATAGTTAGCATATAAAGCTTCAAATTCTTGTGTTATTGCTACTTGCCAGGAAGGATTCAAAGTTGCTTCCTCGTAAGAGTATGTTTCACACTCATGTGAAATGTTCTTAAGTTGCTGGCTGTCATGGCTTAGTGTATTGAAGGGCACAGAATGGTTATTAGAGAAAAAATAGTAAGTGAAGTAGAGGCTTATTGTTGTTCAAGGTTTATATTGTTGCTTAAGTGATTGTCTGGTTGTAGATTAGGTAGTGTATAGACATAGTCCTTGAGGTGTGAAAGGGTGCTGAGTGTCCTGCCTGATCTTCTATATTGTGTGATATTTGGTCGATTAACATTAAGTTCTATGTTGTGTGGTACTTGGTTGAAGGATGTTGTGTGGAACTCTGAATGGCGTTTAGGTAAAACATTTGGATTTGAATCTGGGTTGATATGTGAAATATGGTTTGGTGTGCTTGTAGGGATTGGCAATGAACTTGTGTCTGGTGAGTGTGTGCCTTCAAATATAGGACTATCAGTGACAGAAGTTGATGCATCTTTATTATGATTACAATGATCATCAGGTGTGATCACTACAGGATTGTGATATGGAGAATTCTGGCTTATCATATGTAATACAGAAGGAAATGAAAAATGTTCGGGTGAAATGGAAAAAGAGAAAACATCTTCATGAAACACAACATCTCTAGACACATGTAACCTCTTTGTGGCTAAATCAAGGACCTTATATCTTTTTGTCCCAAAAGGGTATCCTACAAATACATGAGGAGTGGCTCTAGGCTCAAATTTGTCTTTGTGAGTTTTGAGTGTGGTGGTGTAGCACAAGCAACCATGAATTCTAAGGTGTGAATAAGTTGGTTTTCTGTTGTAAAGGAGCTCAAAGGGGCATTTATTGTTGAGAATTGAATAGGGCAGTCTATTTATCAAGTATGTAGCAGTTCGTATACACTCTCCCCAGTATCTCATTGGCAATTTGGACTGATAAAGTAAGGTTCTAGCTGTTTCTAGTAGGTATGTGTTTTCTTTCAACCACACTATTTTGTTGTGGTGTGTATGGACAACTTTTCTGGTGGATTATGCATTTTTCTTGAAAGAACATCATAGTTTCATTATTTATAAACTCCAACCCATTATCTGACCTAACAGTCTTGACTGAGGTACTAAAATGATTTTCAATCATATAAACAAGAGCCTTGATGGCTTGAAAAGTGCTACTTTTGCTACTTAAAAGGTGTGTCCAGGTTGATCTACTAAATTCATCAACCATGGTAAGAAAATATTTGTAATTGTCATGTATGGCTATGTGATAGGAACCCCATAAATCTAGGTATAAAAGTTCAAATATTTTGGTGGCGGATGAAGTTCTTTGGGCAAAAGGCAACCTTGTCTGCCCTGCCATAGGGCAGACAGGGCAAGTGAATGGCTGTTTGAGGGAAAAGTTAATAGTTATAGTGGAAAGGCTTCTCATTTTCACAAAGGGTACATTGCCTAGCCTGTTATGCAATAGATGCTCAACACTCTCTTTATGAGATGCAGAAAACAATAGAAGAGAATTCACATTAAAGGAAGAGTCAATTTTATTGCTTGCGTGAAGAATATTTACATTGTTATGTGAATGTGATGACCTATTTACATTTAACAAGGATTGTAAAGGTAGATTGTGACTATTTCCTGTATTTACAACATCAGTCAATGTAGGAAAACAAGAATGAGAACAAAGATTAACAGGAACAGAAATTGAACCAGACTCTGAACAACTAGGACATTTATGGCAAAGGAAGCACAAGCCACTCCTTGCCTTACTCTTCAATGAAGGGGCCTGCATCATACAAGGTACTTACTGAAGTTAACTATGCAGTTGAAGTAATCTGTCAAGGAATGAACATATATGAGGGTGTATTTGAAAGTAGGCACATACAACACTTTGACTAAGGTTAACATTGGATAAAGAAATGCATCTCCAATTTCTGTCACTTTCACCCTATATCTGTTAGGTAAAGTAACTAGGAAAGGGTAGGATAAGGTTCTAATATTCTTTAAAAATCATTTTCTATATGTCATATGATTTGAAGCTCTACTATCTAATATTCACAAGTCAACAACTAATTTAGAACATCTATACACATTTGTTTCAGCAATCTCTTTATAAGTAGAACAAGTTAGAATATTTGCCAAGTTTGCAGCTCCACAAGTCATGTTGCCTTCTCCTGTGTCTCTTCCTGGGAATTTCTCCAATAAGCTGAGTAATTGGTTGTACTACTCCTTTGTGAGGCTCTGAAGTCCTTTATTTTGATTTCCATCTTCCATCTCCTCACAATCTGCATGAACATTTGCAGCAGATGCTACATTTCTCCCTTTTGTAAACTTGTAGTATTGTGGAAAACCATGAATTCTATAACAGTTGTCCCTGGTATGTCCTGGGTTTTTGGAATAGTCACAAAACATTCTAGACTTGTCAGGTGGATAATTTGACTTATTTGAATTGTATGAGTTAGGTCCAATACAGCTTCCCCTCTGATTGTAGTTGGTTCTGAATTTGGTATTGCCATGTCCATTTGCACTCAATGAAGTGGATTCCATGACCAATCTGTTGTTTGATCAGACTTTTCTCTTTTTTTCTTTTTGGATAAGGATAGAAAAATCTTGTGCTATGCTGGGCAACAGATTCATCATCAATAACTCTCACAACTGTATAAACCTCATTCAAGCCCATTAAGAACTGAATTAGTCTTCGATCCTGCTCAGCTTTATGCATGTTTACCTTTGCACCACAAGTATATTTGCAATTGCACTGTGCATATGCAATCAAGGTGTTCAATTCCTCCCAAAGTCGTTTCATTTTCGTGTAATACCCTGTGATGTCCAAAGCCCCTTTAAGATCACTAATCTCTTTTTGCAGGTGATAAAGCTTCGCTCCATTAGTCTGATCATATCTGTCTTCCAACTCATGCTATAATTTCTTAGCGTCATTGATATATTGTAGACTATCCGCTAGATCCTTTGAGAGTGAATTCAGAATTCACGATGTGACCATATCATCGCAATGAGCCCACTGATCATAAGTTGCTTCATCAGTGTTAGGTTTATTACACTTTCTCGTAATAAAACCGACTTTGTTCTTCACTAAAAAGTTATAAGAACTCCTCTCCTCCGGGATTTGTAGCTGGTTCCGTAAAAAACAACAGGAACTAGCGTCGTTCCGGCACTCTTCGACGGGTGCATGTATACTGGGTTAGTCGAATCCAAATTACTAGTTGTACCTTGAGTTTCCTTATTTACAGCCATCGATTGAAGTAGGTTCTTAGAAGATTAGAGTAATTGATCTCTCAATTTGAATAAAGCAGATGAAAATTTCAGAAACCTTTACGTCAAAGTGTGAACTTGTAATTTTCGATTTTATGAAATGAAAAGAGAAATTAATGAAATTGAAGAAAGTTTATGTTTAGAAATTAGAGCTGGGCTCTGATACCATGTCGAAAATGAAGCTAAGATATTGTTGTCTGACCTTGAGCTCATATAGAGATAAGAAAGGAAGATTCTAGAGAGATGATGTAAAATGCGGGAAATTTATGTATCTCTTTCCATTAGCTAAGCTAAGTACTTATACACGTATAAGGAAAAGAAAAATGAAAAAGTGTGACAACTAATTACCAGACTACCCTTGTAACTAATTCAACTCCTTACTTCTAACCACCTAAGCTAACCAACTGACTACAAGCAAACAATAATAACATATCGAGTACTATCCCACACCGTGGAGTTTGGGGAGGGTAGTGTGTACGCAAACCTTACTCCTACCTTGTGAGGATAGAGAGATTGTTTCCAATAGACCCTCGGCTCAGGAAAGAACCAACTGACTAACTAACTCAATTACAACACAAACAAATAAATACAATACAATAATATACCACGACTCTATAATCTCAATATAATATAAATGTGATAATAACAACTAAATTAATCTTAATTAATTTGTATATTTGTCCCACACTAACATAACATTGAATTTTACCAACAAATGAAAAGTGCAGTCCCAATTTAAAATGAATAGAAAAAACTCTTAAGAAAATAAACCTATGGAAGAAATGTTTAAGACTATACAAAAAGTAGATATTGAAGATAGGGAATGGTCCAATGAGAAAGCAGTGAGGTTCCACGTATCACACACTACAATCAAATTCTATTGCCTGAGAAAATATAGTGGATAACCAGAGGTAGGAGAAGCACATAAAATTCCCAGAAGAAAATATACTACTTTTTGGGGATATCAAGAAACCAAAAAGGAGATTTGAGATAGACAAGAAAGAGAGGCCCAAGTTAAGCATACACAGCCAGCCCCAAGAATCTAAGCATCGGCCAAATGGCAGCAGCAGCTTCTACTTCAATGGCAGCTACTGCCGTCTTTGCTTCTCGTTTCCCACTTTCCTCCACCACCAAAGCCGCCCCTGCTCGCTGCTCCGCCTTGCCTTACCTTCCATCCCGCCTTTCTGCTACTGCCTTCTCATCTTCTCTCAAGTTTGTTGGTACCCGCTCTTTCTCCTCTTCTTCTTCTTCTTATTAGCTTTTGTGTTTCCTCGTTATAATGTCTCTTAGTTGTAATTTCACTTCCAAGAATTGATTAGAGCATTAATGAAGACAACCCATTGAGATTGAGGTCACACTTAGAAGGCAATTCCTTAAACTCCATTGTCTGAGAGTAAATTCAAGTAGATGTACAACATGTAATTAGGAAAAAAGGAATCCAATTCAATAAAATTAAACATATGGTGCTTCGTGTTAATATTTTTCTAAAAAGATCCTTTCTTTTCATTGTGTAAATCTTCAAGTTGCTATGCTGATAAAGTTTTGTTGAGTTCAGATTCCTTTGATTTAAAAAGTGCTAAATTGTTAACCAATTTTAGTCTTCTGTATGTTTGTCGAGCAATTTGAAGCGAGCTCATACATGATACTTAAACACTGATTTGAAGGCAATTCTTTAACTCTATTTCCCAGACCCAACCATATTCAATGAAATCAATAAAATTTGTATATGGAGTCCTTTGTTTGTACATAGAGTGCTTTGTTTGGACATGGAGTGCTTTGTTTTATTAGTATCCTAGAAATGTCTGTTTCTTTTCCCTTCTCTCTAACTAGGATTGATCATTTGTGCTGTAGTCCTTCCAGTTGCTATACTAAGAAAATTGTGCTGGCGAACGACTCCTATATTTAAAATGGTGCTATCTTGTCACTAAACTTCACTCTTGTGTGTTTAAAAAACAATGTAAAGTGATTGTCTAGACGGATGTATGACATAATTGCTTCTATACTGGTGATGAATTGAGTAGAAGCTTACTTCAATTGTTCTTTAGAAGCAATTTCTGCCAAGATGTCTTAACCTTTGCTAGGATGTTAATGTTTTGCTCTTTCCATTTGTGATGAGCTCATCTACCTACACAATCATGACATAGGAGCCTCCTTGTGTACCCCCGTGCTACTTGAGTTAGGTCTTGGCTCCTTTGGTTAACTGAATTATTTTCAACCAGCCCAATTTCAACAAGTTATAGTGTTGATTCTTCTGTCATAAGAAAGCATTTGGCGCCACCTTAAAGGTCCTTACAGTAAGGGAACGCGAAATTATCCCAAAGGAATGACATTTCTTGAGGCAGGCGTAGGAGTAACAAATCGGAGATCTGAGGTCTTAATAACAGCTACATTACTCAGTGTCGGTTCATCTTCTCAAATATTGGTGGGCAAGTTGACCGGATACTTGTGCTTGTGGCCTGTACTAGACTGCATTGTGGATTAGTGATTAGTCTTGGTGCAACAAGCTAGTCCAGACACAACCATCACTTATGTTTTAAAGAAAAGGAAAAATGATATCTTCAATTTGCAATCAACTTGAATTTAGCTAAGTATTTTAGATTTTGTTCCACATTCAGTGGAATCATGAATATTACTTTTTGATAACTTCTGTGGGACCTATATCTACTATCTTTTACCTGTTTTTTTTTTTTTTTTTTTTTTCCTTTTTTTTTTTTTTTTTTTTTTTGGTTGGTGTAGTAGACTAATTTAACCTACTTTCGATTAAATTTATGTGTATTGTTACTTTCCATTGGTTTCAGAGGTTCAAATTTTTGTCATCCTTCTTTGCAACAGACGAGGGACTCTATGTGATTTATCTACAAGAATTGTCACACTCTGATGTGGAAGTTAACCCTATATGCTCTGTAGAATGACTTCTCAATTGGATGTCTTAAAAAAGAGCGAAATGGAAAAGCATCATCTTTACTTTAACACAATATTTTCACATTTCCTAATGAGTAATGATAAAGTATCTCATGGGCATTATCATGCTATCTCCAAGAACAAGGAAGTCCCTGCCCAAAAGCTGGAACTCTATTCTTCCATGCAGTCACAAGAATTTGGTGCAGAAAAGGTCTAGATCTCAGATGAAAGTGATATGTTTTTTGCTGATTTTGGATATAGTTGCTTAAGTTAAACCTGACATAAAGTAATAAGCAATTAAGCATCGCCTATTAAGTGTGCTGTTTGCTATATACTGAAGTTCAATACTTATTTCTGTTGCTGTGCTCATCATCTTATGTTGATATTCTTACCAGAGCCCAAGAGGGCTTTGCTACTCCAGGTCAAAGCCTCTTCATCAGAGGAATCCGGTGCTGTTGATACCAGTGAGTTGTTGACAGATCTAAAAGAAAAGGTAAACTGGAAATTTGCTAGCTGTGATTTTCTCTATTGCTCTCACTTTAGTCATTAGCTATACACACTCTCTCTTGGCTGCAATATTAGCTTTAAGGTTATTCAGAATACATAACATTGTTATGTACATAGTCCAATCTCTGAGACTGTAAGTTGCTTATTCCTGTAAAAATATTGTAGAGCAAAACCTGTCATATTGGTATGTTTGCTTTTATTATATCGTTTTTTTCTGTGTTATAAATGTGATTTATTTAGGTGCTAACACTGAGATTTTTTTGGTAAATGGCTTACAGTGGGATGCTGTTGAAAACAAGTCTACAGTTATAGTTTATGGAGGTGGGGCAATTGTTGCTGTTTGGCTGTCTTCAATTGTTGTTGGTGCTATCAACTCAGTTCCTTTGGTAGGTTGATTAATGTGATAAGATAATCATCTTGCTCTCTGAACTGCTTTAAGCTTTGTTATGGGTCTTCTTCCCACTATGTTTAATTTCTGTCCGACAAAGTGAGATTTACAGATTTTCTGGTTTCAATCAACTATCCAAATCAGTTAATCTTTCTTCCTCTTTCTGCAGCTCCCGAAAATAATGGAGCTGGTGGGCCTTGGATACACTGGGTGGTTTGTCTACCGCTATCTTCTATTCAAGGTAAGATTTTCAGACTGTGTAGCTACTCACATCATCTTTTAAGCGCTGAACGCAGCCATCAAACAAGCAGTAGAGAGCCTACTCTCTCTCTCTCTACATGCCATTAACCTTCCTCCAAGGGGGTGGGTGTTATTATCCATTCGTCCTGTGACCTTAGAGGTTGTCTGTCAATTAACTTCAACAAATTTATAGCCTGAGTTTTCAAGGTGGTCTGTTGTTTACCTTGTTTTCTTTTGCATACTTAGATTATGCTGAACTGACAAAACAAAGGTTTTGATTTGAGTCAGTTTCTATGTCTTTCCTACATTATATCCCCCACAGTAACACTTCCTTCTACACCATCAAACAGAGATACTTCCTTTAAAGTTGTCATGCGCTGTCTGGCTCAATATTATCCATGTTCAGTTCAATTGTCTGAGAAATCTGCTTTTAGCATCAATTTTCCAACTGTCATTTACGGATTTTACCTTTGGGTCCGTAATGCATCTTTTACCACGACCTGAAGCATCTTGTTGTTGTTGTTGTTGTTGTCCGTAATGCATCTTTTACCACGACCTGAAGCATAGTGTAGCAAGTCCTTTGCGAATAAGTCTACATATAAAATATACTCAACTAATATAGGTGCTCTCTTGAGTATATTTACTAGTGATTTGAATTTGTTTTTCTTGCTGACAGTCAAGTAGAAAAGAATTGGCAGAAGACATTGAGCAATTGAAGAAGAAGATTGCAGGAACTGAATAAATGCACACAAATGGCAATGCCAGTTCAGACTGTTAATTTTCTGTATGAGAGGCATCTGCTTGTGTGAAGTAGAGTAGATTTTGATGTAATTTTCTTCTATGCTGAGCAAATCTTCAAATAAAATTATGTATTTACCTTACAGTTCATTGTGCTTATAAATTATATAGTATCCACTTTGTTTCTATGAATGCATTTTTTGCTGCACCAAATTGTTTTGTTGGTCAAGTTCTATCCCTTTTTGTGCTCTTACTAGTGATCAACGGGGCAATGCAACTAGGACAATATCCCAGTCAAATAAGATAAAAAAAACCAGCTTTTTATCCTATTTAATTATAATTCGCTATGCTATTATTAGCTAAAGTAAACCAGTGGAAAGAGATGAAGTATAATTAGTTGTATGTATTTGTCTTTGTAGCGTGCAATTAGATCTCTAGCAAGCATTGAAGACAGCAACACAAAAATTCCATTTATCTTATACGGTTAACAACAACAACAACAATCCAGTAAAATCCTACCAAGTAAGGTCTGGGGAGGGTAATGTGTATGCAGACCTTACCCCTACTCCGACAGGGCAGAGAGGCTGTTTCCGATATACCCTCGGCTCAAAAAAACGGAAATAAAAAACAAGAAAAAACAATTCATTAGTAACTCCAGTAGAAAACGTAATAGTAACAGAAGCATAACAACCAAAAGATGAATGACATGCAATAACAGTAACTAGTATCTAAGGCCCAGGGCTAAGATAAACATCAAGGATACTGTGGATTCAACATAAACTGCAAGCCATCTAAGATCAACCCTAATCCAATCCCGCCTCACCCCGGTATGAAGTAAGGAAAGTTCTACTACCTCTAACCTACAACCCTAATGTTTGACCTCTAGATCTTCCTATCAAGGGCCATGTCCTCGGAAATCTGCAGTCGTACCATGTCCTGCCTGATCACCTCTCCCCAATACTTCTTAGGTCTCCCTCTACCTCTTCTCGTACCCACCACGGCCAACCGCTCACACCTCCTCACCGGCGCATCAAGGCTTCTCCTCTGCACGTGCCCGAACCATCTGAGCCTCGCTTCCCGCATCTTGTCATCCACAGGGGCCATGCCCACCTTCTTCCGAATATCTTCATTCCTAATCTTGTCTATCCTAGTGTGCCCGCACATCCATCTCAGCATCCTCATCTCTGCTACCTTCATCCTCTGGATATGGGAGTTCTTATCCGGCCAACACTCTGCCCCATACAACATGGCCGGTCTAACCACAGCTCTATAAAACTTACATTTGAGTGTCAGTGGCACTTTCTTGTCACACAAAACTCCAGATGCAAGCCTCCATTTCATCCAACCCGCCCCTATACGGTGAGTGACGTCCTCGTCGATCTCTCCGTCCCCCTGAATCATCGACCCAAGGTACTTGAAGCTATCTCTATTCGGGATGACCTGTGATCCAAGCCTCACGTCCCTGCCTACTTCCCTCGATTCAGCGCTAAACTTGCATTCCAGGTACTCTGTCTTAGACCTGCTCAATTTGAAACTCTTAGACTCGAGGGTCTGTCTCCAAATCTCCAATCTCTCGTTAAAAAAATAAAAAAACATCAAATTGTTATCTCCAAACAATCCTGTTTTTATCTTAATAATCCACTGAGCCGTTCTTGGAACTTCTATAGTTCTATTGACTTAGCATAGCTAATTTTTTTTTTCTTTAAGCTTCCCATTCGAGGTGTGGTACACGCTTTAGGGCCTGTTTTTGTGCCAAGAAGTCTTACTTTGTAAGTAAAACACTTCACTCATACCTGAGCTCTCTTAGGTAAGATGCAGCAGTAACTTACCACCGCCCTTACAACTTTGATGTATAGCTCATAAAGTTAAAAGGTATTTCAAAATGTGATATAACGTGGTGAAATTCAAAAATAGCAAGATTTACAACTGGTCGTTCAAAAATAGCCCAGTTTTAAAAGTAATCAAAATTTAACCATTTTTCATGTAAAGATAAATCTGAGCGAAAATACTGTTCAAAACCCGGAAAATATGCCAGTATATTATGCTGGAGTTCCATCATAAGTATACTTGAACTCCAGCATAAATATGCTGGAGTTCCAACAACATAATATGATGAAGTTCCAGCATAAGTACACTAGAACTCAAGCATAATATACTGGAGTTACAGCAAGTATACCGGTCCAGAATAATATACTGGAGTTTGGAGCACCGGTGCTCCAGTCTCCAGTATATTATATGTAGTCACCAAAGTATACCGGTCCAGCATAATATGCTGGAGTTCATACACAGGTGCACCGAACTCCAGTATATTATGCTGGACCGGTATACTTTGGTGACTACATATAATATACTGGAGACTGGAGCACCGGTGCTCCAAACTCCAGTATATTATTCTGGACCGGTATACTTGCTGTAACTCCAGTATATTATGCTGGACCGGTCTCTGTTGCAGCAAAATAATGGCTATTTTTCATTGACTTGGTAAACGCTGAATATTTTTGAATGACTAATCCGAAAACTGGCTATACCGTGCTATTTTTACAACTAATTCCCACCTATTTTTTAGATACAAACCTAATATTTCCAATTCTAGCAAAAGAAGCTAACTATTCATCTATTCTTGTAAAAAGGTTTAGAAAAAATAAATTCGTATGTCCCTTATCATAGAAACTAATAGTATTTGGAGAATGAAACATTTTTTTTCTTCCACTACAATTTCTTAAACAAATTTTAAATAAATTTATTATAGAAACATCTTCGGCTTGTGATAATTTATACTATATAGTTTCATAAATGATGAAGTAATATTTTCACACTAAAAGTTAAATGCTAATCCTCGTACTCCAAATTCAAGACGGGGAAAAAAATACCACTAGCAAATTATGAGCCAAAAAAAAAAAAGATAAATTCTGTCGCAAATTAAAAAAAGAAAAGGGGACATTTCTGAGAAAGCCCTTGTAGTTTCTTAATTTCTATATTTGCCCCGACCCAAGAAGGGTTTTTGAGGGGTTTCCAATTACATCGTCACTTTCACTTTTCATTGCAGAGCCAGATTCATCCTAGGTTTTGAGCACTACGCAGTGAAATCAAGATGATGCGAATAACTGAAATCGCAAAATCCAAACCCTTGACCTCATCAATCGAAACCCTAGGTCACAATTTCATACAAAAATGCTTCGTCAGTCGAACAGCAAAAGGAAAAGGCAAACTAAAAGCTGGGCAGCCACTGAAAAGATCAAAAGTCACAACGAAGAAAGGCGCAGAAATCGCAAAGAAAGAACCACCGCGAAGAAAAAACGAATTCGACGAAATGGTTGAAGAATGCTTATCGTCTACTGCTCCAGTGAGATCATTGAAGCCCAAAGAACAAGCCCGAGAAGCTGAAAGAGAGAGAATGGGATTAATTAGCAAAGCTCGAGATGAAGAGCTAAAAAAGATGAACAAGATGAAGAAGGAGTTTGCAAATCCATGGCCGATTGGGCCACCGGGTTTGGATTTGATTTCACTTGGGCTTGTTGATGTAGAGAAGCTTCCCAAGTACGAAATGACAGTTGAAGATGGAAGGAGGCTGGCAAAGGAGTACAGTAGGGTTTTAATGCGTAAGCATAGGCAGAGGCAAGCTGCTGAGACGACATTGTTGACGTTGAAGAAAGAGGCGATTGAGGCGTTACCCGAGAATTTGAAAGCTGCTGCTTTGGTCCCTGATTTGACACCATTCCCTGTGAATCGGTTTATGGCTACTTTAACGCCGCCTATTGAAGGTTATATTGAGAAGGTTAACGAGGCAGCTAAGAAGAGTTCTGCAAAGGAGAAGCTTAGATGATTGTGAAAGGTAAGGTGATATTTTATTGCTACATTCTCGAGAACCCCTAATTTGCGATAAAGACTATTTTTATGAGCATTGGAGTACATTAGGTTCGACGGGAAGAAATAGGACCAATAATAATGGATATAGAAGATTTCATATAGCTGATCCGAACTAGTTTGAGATTGAGTCGTAGTTGTGTTTGATTTTGATCTTATTTTGCCTCTCTTTGAGTTTGTACCCTGGTGTCTGATTTATTTGTGTGATGGTATTATACACTGATACAACGATGCTTTATGAACTAAGAATTACAGGAAAATGCCAACTATGGTAGTAAGAATTATGTACTTTTTAACTTAAAAAAAAAGAAATATGTACTATTTGATGGTTGTTCTTTACCTTAAGAAATTATTATGACATTGTATCTATGATCATCTTGGCTCTAGTTCCTTAAACGCAAAGGTGTTATATCTCCGTANGGGGGTTCCTTGGGATTTAGTAAGCTGAAATGCGAGCTTGTTTAATGTTCCATCATTTCTTAAAAAAGATGACTTCGTTAAGTATTTCAGTGTTTGGTTGAGTATGGAGTTACATCGCATATGACAGTAGTGGAAGATGGATTGGGTTTGGGGAAAGTACTTTGTGTAGCAAAAAGTGACAATGATTTCTACATGTGCTGAGAGCAAGCCATATCTGAGAAGAGCTGAGATACTTGTAACTGAGAATGAGTAACTTAAGCAATGTAAGTTTGTGTTCCCGCCTTTATGGTAACTCGGTTTCATCGAGGCCTATCAGGAAAATGATTCTATGAAGAAAAAATATTTAGTTATTTTTATGGCATCCCAAACACACCTGTAACCAGCATTACTATTGGGTTGGTTACTGTAATAACTATCTTTGTAGCCCCTGAATGTTTCAGATTATGCTCCTACCTATTATCTCGATATACCAAGAAAGATGTACGGTCTAATAAGGCTACTATGAAATATTTATTCATGGGTGGGGCAACCTCTTCTATTCTGATTCATGGTTTAATGACTGATCTGGCAGTGTACTGGACTCGGGAAAAATCTATTTCTTGATTGTTAAGGTGTTTACCATATTAATGTTACCATTTTCAGAAAAGGTGTTTACCGTATTAGTAATAATCCTCAAGTATTGAACTTGGTACTAGTCTTTACCATGGTTTTGTGAAGTTGGAACTCAACCTAAATGGTACAGTTCTTGATAAAATTGAAATTCAGCTCGTAGTAATGACATTGAAGCTACTGCAGAAACTAGTATACAATTAATATCATAGAGACAATGAATTTTCTATTGGTATTTAACCTTTATCTAACTAGATTCCTGTACTGACTGTAATATTCTATGATAAGCATGATAACTA